CGGCGCTAACCATCTCTGCTGAGTGAGACACTCAGGCCTATCCAACGGTTTGGCCAGGGTTCAAGCTACCACGCTAACGCTGGCTCCACTCCTTGGAATGCCCTTTCTACCTGGCGAAATCCAGGATCCCCTCCTCCAGGAAGCCTTCTCTTGTGGCTGTCCGGTTGTCTTCCCAAGGCTTGGACGTCTTAGGGCCCCTGCACCTCCCAGTACTGGACCGGCACATAGGGCTGTTTAGCAAACTGAGTCAGGGCATCTGACATGCTCTGCCTGTCTGTGTGATAGAAAAGGCCATCAGCTCGGCCACAGTCAGATATCAGACGCCTGATTTAACTTCGCAAGACTCAGTCTTTTCAACTGTAACATGGGAGGAAAACAGGGTTAAAAGGATTACACGAGTTAGATGTAAATGTTAGCATCGGGCTAACCTTCAAGCTTCTGTTTCCCCATCTACACATGTCCCTCATGAAAATGGAATAGAATCAAAGGCACAGAAAATAACTGGTACTGGACTGGTACCGGGGAACAGTACATCGTGTTCACTATAGAAGGAGAAATGTCTCATATAGTAGGCAGTGAATTAATGCTTCCTCCTCTCATGATAGGCCCAGCAAATCAGGGACAGAATCACTCCAAGACCAGCCCCTTCAGGGGCCACACATTACTTTGGGAACTGGCCCAAGACTGACACTGGAGCCCAGACCCCACATCTGAGAACAGGAGACTGAGGCATGGAGGGGGTACTGCTGCCTAGTGTGTAGCACTAACCCTGCCCATCCCTCTTGCCACCAGTTTTGTTGCTCGAGTCTCTCTTAGACTCTCTACCCTGTCTCTTCCATGCCCAGTGTCACCCTCAGATGGCCTGCCCTGTGGTCCAGAAACCTACTGGGTGTCTCCCTAAGAATGCTCTCCGGAGCCCCCAGACCGGGCTTAAACACTCATATCTGGCCATTCACTCACTCAACAAACATTGATTGAGCACCTGTTGTGTACCGGCCCCTGTGCTGTACCCTGGGGACCCAGTGTGGACAAGGCCACAAATAATCCCTGCCTGCCCTCAGGGGCCCCCAGTCTCATGGGGGAGGCAGAGAGTAAATAGGAAACAATTAAAAGAACAAGTTAATTTCAATTACTGAAGTCAAGGAAAAAAAAGAACGGGTAACAATGGCAAAGGACAAGTTCTTAGCTGAGAGGCCTCTCTGAGGAGGTGACACTGCAGCCTGCTGAGGCAGTGGGAAGAGGTGCCAGCCATGGAGAAAAAGTGTCCCAGGCAGAGGGCACAGCTCATGTGAAGGTCTTGAGACAAGACTGAGGGGAAGATGCCAGCAGGGCTGTCCATGTAGGTCCTGTAGGCTGTAGGGA